CGCCGCCTGCGCCTTCAAGGTGAGCCTGGCACCAGCAGCCCTGGAGCGGGTGCTGGGTGCCGGGTGCTGAGCGCCGCCTGTCCCCATCCCCAGCAATCGCCCTACCCCGTCATCCTGTCCCTGGAGAACCACTGTGGGCTGGAGCAGCAGGCCACCATGGCCCGGCACATGAAGGCCATCCTGGGGGACATAAGCCGCTGGAGGGGCAGGACCCCCACGAGCTCCCGTCCCCAGAGGTAGGGCCACCCACCCGCCCACTGCGGTGTCCCCGGTGTCCCCACCAAGCCCTGAGCTCGGCCCTTCCTCCCACAGCAGCTGAAGGGGAAGGTCCTGGTGAAGGGCAAGAAGTTGCCAGAGCCATGGCATGAGCCCCGGGGTGTCACCTCCCTTCCGGACCCCGAGGAGGAGGAAGAGGAGGAGGAGGAAGAGGAAGAAGAGAAGTTGCAGGAGAGAAGCAACCGGCGGGTAAGGGGCTTGCCCAGGGGTATGGTGCCAGGGGACCACGGTGTCCAGGTTGTCCTGGAGGACCATGACCTCCTGCTGGAGCTGGAGTACCATGATGTCCTGGTGGTCTTGGAGGACCACAGAGTCACTGTTGGCGCTGAAGGACCATAGTGTCCTGGTGGTCCTGGAGGACCACAGCACCCCAGTTGGTGCTGAGGGACAATGGCATCCTGGTGGGGCTGGAGGACCATGGCATCCCAGGGGACATGTTCCACGGGACAATGGTGTCCCAGCAGTGCTGGGCCTGAGGCGGGTGAGCACTGCCAGCACCCCCCAATGCAGCCCCGCTCTCTTCTTCTCTTCCAGTCACTGCAGTCGCTGCAAGAGATCAAACCTCTGCAGGTGGGTGGTGTGATGGAGCTGGGTGGGCTGATGGGTCGGGTACCGTGGGGGTGGTCACTGACTGTCACTGCCCAGCAGAGGGGACTGAGCCTGGGGCCTGGGAGCTCCATTTCTCTGATCTCCATCACCCTGGGGGCTCCCTTGCCTTGGGAAATCCGTGCCCTTGGGTCTCCACCACTTTGGGGTCTCCATCACCTCCAAGGTGACCACTTGGGGTCTCCGTTGTCTTGGGGAGGTGTTCCCCATTGCTTCAGTACCCATCATCTTGAGGTCTCTGTCATCTCAAGTTCTCTGTCATCTTGCATTGTCCATTACTTCAGGGTCTCCATCACCTTGGGATCTCTAACATCTTGGGTTGCTCATCACTTTGGGTTCTCTGTGACCTCAGGGTCTCAACCTGCTCGGGTTCTCCGTAATCTCGGGGTACATCACTCCAGCGTCTCAGGTTCTCCATCACTTTTGGATCTCCATCACCTTGGGGTCTCTATTATGCCAAGTTCTCCATGTCCTTGGGGGTCTCAGCACTCAGCACCAGCAGGGTAGTGGGGTCTGTAGACCCTCAGGCATGCAGGTGGCCATCAAAGCCAGGGTGGCCCTGACACCACGGTGGTTCCCACAGGCCAAGGACGCGTCGCAGGTGGCCCTGGAGCTGTCGGCCGTGGTGGTGTACTGCCAAGCTGTCCCCTTCCCTGGCCTGGCCCATGCCCTGCGCCACCCTCGGCCCTGTGAGATGTCCTCCTTCAGCGAGAGGAAGGCTCGGAAGCTCATCAAAGAGGCGGGTGAGGGTGACAGGATGAGGATGAGGATGGGGACAGGGCGGCTCCATGCTCCTGACCTCACTGGGATGCAGGATGGGGCTGACACCGATGGGCTCTGTCACTGAGATGGCTCCGAGGGTGGTGGCCGGGGAGATGCTGGCCCTGGCCAAGGTTGCTCTGATCTGGTGGGACTGGGGGTCTGGTGTCAGGGTCTAGGGCCAGAGGCCAGGGTGGGGGTCAAGGTCCAGGATCAGGGTCTGGGGTCAAGGTTTGGGATGTGGCGTCTGGGCCAAGGGTTGGGTCTGGGGTCTGGGACTGGGGTTTGATCTGGGTCAGGCTGAGCTCTGGCGTCAAGGTCTGGCATTTGGGTTCGGGGCTCGGGGTCAGGATCTGAGGTCAGGGTCAGGGCTCCAAAGTCAAGGTCTGGGTCAGGATCCAGGATCTGAGGTCTGGGATCAGGGTCTGAGGTCCAAGGTCAGGTTTTGGGGTCCAGTGTTCGGGGTCTGAGCTCTGAGGTCTGAGGTCAAGCTCTAGGGTTGACCCACTGTCCAATTTTGGGCTCTGGGTCATGTCTCTGGAGGATCTGGAGGGTCTCTGGACCCCTTGCCACCCCCAGGGGGGCACCCATGGGTGCAGGAGCCCCACTCAGCCATTCCCACCCACCAGGCCCGGCGCTGGTCCGGTACAACGCCCGGCAGCTCAGCCGCGTCTACCCGCTGGGGCTGAAGATGACCTCGTCCAACTACAACCCTCAGGAGATGTGGAACGTGGGCTGCCAGCTGGGTGAGACCCCGCAGGGGGACATCCCCTGACCCAGAACACCCCCCACACCCCACCGCAAAGGTGTCACCCACCCTGACCCCCTGTCCCCCTGTCCCCACAGTGGCGCTCAACTTCCAGACGCCGGGCTACGAGATGGACCTGAACACCGGGCGCTTCCTGGGCAACGGGTGCTGCGGC